GGATTATTGAGCATGCATCAGGATATGACCTCACAGTAATTACACAGTAAATTTAAAAGCAGTTCAGTTTAGAAATATTTACTCCTTCACTAAAAGAGACAAACATTTCCTAACATCTGCCTTATAAAGTTTCAGTAAATGAAAACAACTTCAGGCGTTCTTTTCCAAAAGTCTTTTGATGTCCGGTAAATTTTATCATGCTCCTTTATCACAGATTATTATTTTTGTAATAAAATACATTAAAATTTCACTATTGAATCTGTGATTATTTTAATCTGTGTGTTGATCAAATTTGATATCTTTATACATGAAAAGAATTCCCGTTTTGGGGGTTATAGAGATGACTATTTTTCCTCTCATGAGGTGGCGCCCTGTGGTTATATTTATTTACATATTTATGAGCTTAACTCAGAATTGACAATCAGTATTACACCCTTATTCTCCTACAGTGTGTAAAGTTAACTGAGTTTTAGTTAATTTTGTGTTTGCTACAGTGACTTAACTTTGGCAGCCATCTTAAATTGGGTGAACTTCTAAAGGTAATCAGTTGTAGAGGTATGTCTAATGATTTGTGAGTGCTTCATTAAAATCTATTCAGTGATTCGAGATGTTTGTCTAATGCTACAGACAATGAAACGCATGCACACAGACACAGGCAAAAACATTACTGCCTTTTGTCTTCAGCTGGATTATTAAATGATTCAAGACTTTTGCACAGTACTTAGAAAACTGTGGGGTTTTTGTGACTTTCACATCAAAGCTGCACTTCGGCTTGGCAGACATCACTGACGATGGAAGAGCTTATGTTCACTATCAAAGGGTTGGTTGAGTAACACCTTTTCCAACATTTATTTCTAACAATAAAATGATCTAATACTGTGATGGACTTGCGACCTGTCCAAGGTGTACCCCGCCCCTCGCACAGTGATTGCTGGACATGGGCACCGGCGACCCCCGTGACCCATGAAGTGGGTAAAAGATAATGGATGGATGGATGATCTAATAGACACAAAAATATTTAGGATGTTACCTTATCTATGCGTGAAACAATGAAAGGCTTCTTAACAAAGGCAATCCTGGCATCTGTATTGAGGGCAAGAAACTCCTGCATCTCTTCACTGTTGGCTATTTCAGGGATGGCACATAAATGCTGAAAAACAAAAAGCACGAGCACAGCATTTGTTGATGTGATATTGGGGCAAAAAAGAAGACTTCTATGAAAAAAAAAATCCACTAACCTTTACAAAGGTCTCAAGTAGACCTCTTCTGGCCTCAATCTTGTCACTGTCCATGTTGCCAAATGGCATGTCGGGAAATAATTTCTTTGGACCTTTCACACCTGAAACAGTCAAGTCAGTAATGCTTTAGGATCATACATAAATCTGTTTAAGCTTAATAAGAATTTCTTGTGTGAGGATTGTGCATGGATTTTTAAAAGACCAGGTTTTAATAGATGCCAGAAAAAAAGAAATTCACTGAACAAAGGATAATTCCACAAACCCTTAATAAGTTTTCGAAGATCTGTTTTTTCTTCAAGCCGAGTTTGCAGGTTGAGAAATTCACTGTATCGTCTGTTGACCATGTGATAGGCTACAGGCTGGATGGATGATGGAATCTCACAGCCTGCTTGAATGGCCTCTAAATCATCAGAACCTGCTTGGATACTTTCTGGGTTCTCACAACTCATCGATGTCTCATACTGAAACCAAAAAGATATTCACACTTTCAACTATGGCTACAAGTTGTATAGAGTGGTAAAATCTAGACTTGCACATTTTTAGTTTGAAAGGAGGTAAATGTGTACAACTGTGAACGGCAATATAAAAACTTGGATGACCCTAAATTTTCTGCTTTTAAACTCAGACAAGACAGTTTGTGAGTATTGGACCTGAGCATTTTAGGAATAAATATTTCAGTCTTTCTCCCCACTTGGATGGCATTAATCTGACCTCCAGTTCTAAAGTTAAAAATCTTGGTGTTATTTTTGATCAGGATATGTCTTTTAACCCCCATATTAAAAATGTTACCAAAACCACGTACCTCCAGCTGCATAATATCACTAAAATTAGAAACATCTCGTCTAAAAATAATGCAGGAAAACTGGTTTGTGCATTTATCACATATAGGCTGGAGTATTGCAATTGTTTATTATCTCAAATACTTATTTAAAAAGTCTTCAACTGATCCAAAATGCTGCTGCCAGAGTTTGTGGCGAGACATATTTTGTCACTTCCTGTTTGTCTGTTTGGTAGCTCGAGTGAATTGTTTGCTCGAGTCATCTTTTGTTTTCTGGATTTATCTGTCTTTTGCACAGTTTTTCATTCTAGTTCACAAACAAACTTAGTACAGTTATTTTTCTACTGTTGGATAGTGCTTGAAACACCTTTTATCTTTCAACACTTCTCGGTTTTTATTGGTGTATTGGGATCTGCTAGCTCTTGCTAGCGTTAGCTTAGCATGGCTGTTGCTTCTCTCCCGGCTTCCTCTGTTTTCACTTGCTCCGTGTGTCAGATGTTTAGATACTCCTCTGCCTCCTTAAGTGGTAATGATACATGTAACATGAGCATGCATCAGGATACATGTAACAAATGTAGTCTTGTAGTCTCTCATCCAGACAAATGTAGCTTTGGAGGAGAGGATGTTGGAACTGGATGCTTGGCTCCATGCTGTAGAAAAACCAGTAGCTAGCCAGGTCCCCTTAGACAGCATGGAACCAAAGAGGCTGGCTCCCGTTAGCGGTCCTCCAGCAGACCCTAAGCAGCCGGGACCCAAGGCCGGCTGGGTGATGGTCCGGAGAAAGCATAGTGCTAAGGCTAAGCCCCCAGTTCACCACTGACCCGTTCACGTTTCTAATCGATTTTCCTCGCTCAGTGACACACCTGCTGAGAAGCAGACCCTAGTTATTGGCAGCTCCATAGTCCGAAATGTGGCTTTAGGGACTCCAGAGGTCATAGTTAAATGCATTCCCCTGTCCCTCAGTCTTTCTCATCCAAAATGGAAATCAGAAAAGCCACTTTTACTAGTTCCCAGTTTACTAGATTCCAGTACTAGATCCAGTCCCCCGGCACAAACAGCGTAATATTGTGTATGCTGTTCAGTGTCAGGAGGGCTGTGATCAGTCTTACATCGGGGAAACTAAACAGCCACTGGCCAAAAGGATGGTCCAGCACAGAAGATCAACATCATCAGGCCAGGATCCTGCGGTCTACACTCATCTCCAGGCCAGTGGTCACTCTTTCAAGGATGAAGATGTTCACATCCTGGACAGAGAGGAACGATGGTTTGAGAGAGGAGTAAAGGAGGCCATCTTTGTGAAAAGAAATCGTCCATCATTAAACAGGGGTGGAGGCCTCCGGGTTCAACTGTCCCCCTCTTACAATGCTGTGATTGCTAGTATCACTCAGCCCTCTGTGAATAGTAAACAGCCATCAGTGTGCTAATGATCCATTGTTAGGCTGATGGTCCTTCTTGAGCATGTGAGCAGCTGGTTTTGGTTGTCAGCAGCAAACTGGTTGATCCACTCTGAGAAGGTGCTATTTAAGAGACTGAGCTGAAAACAGCACCTCAGACTGAGGAAGTCTCTTGGATGAGAGACGAAACGTTTCTATATTTTTTTGCTTTGTTTTGTTTTTTGTTGTTTTTTTTTGAATGTCCAGAGGACCAGATTGAACTTTTTTGGATTTTTCTACCTGGATTATTGAGCATGCATCAGGATACTTTTACTAGTTGTTCTATATCGTCCACCAGGCGCTTACTCTCAGTTTTTGTCTGAAGTCTCAGAATTATTAACTGACTTACTATTAAATACTGATAAAATCATCATAATGGGTGATTTCAATATTCATGTGGATGTTGAGAGTGATAGCTTAAGCATAGCCTTTAATAATTTAATAGACTCATTTGGTTTTACCCAAAACGTCCGCACATCTACTCATTCTTATCACACACTCTTGATTTAGTTCTGACCTATGGTATAGAGATAAAGGACTTGGTAATAGTTCTTCAAAATCCTATTCTGTCTGACCATTTTTTAATAACCTTAGAGTTTACATTAAATGACTACACAGTTACAGAGTAAATTTCATCTCAGCAGGTGCTTATCAGAAAATGCTGTAACCAAATTTAAACAATCTCTTCCATCACTGTTTTCCTCTGTCTTGCAGAGTAATGCATCAGAGAACGGTGACTTAGATCATCTAATTGATCATCTTACAACTTCAATGCAAACTTCACTTGATAAAATTGCTCCACTGAAAAAGAAAGTAATCAGTCAGAGGAATCTGGCTCCTTTGTTCAATTCTGAGTTACGTACTTTAAAGCAGGCATCTAGAAACCAGGAGAGGAAATGGCGCTCTACTAATGTTGAAGAATTTTATTTAACTTGGAAAGATAGTCTGCTAACATATAAAAAAGCTCTCTGTAACGCTAGAACTTTATATTACTCATCTTTAATAGAGGAGAATAAAAATAACCCTAGGTTTCTGTTTAGTACTATTGCTAGACTAATTAAAAGTCCCATTTCTGTTGAACCATGTATCCCTACAACTATAAGTAGTGATGACTTCATGAGATTCTTTATAAATAAAATGATTTCAATTAGAGAGAAAATTCAAACCATCCTTCCTTCTACTATCTCTAGTCCCCTGTCAAATGATACAACTTTAAAAATTTCACTAGAGCCTGATTTATGTTTGGACAGTTTTTGTCCTGTTGAACTCTCTGAATTGTCAAAAATAATAATCTCATCCAAACCATCCACATGCCTGCTAGATCCCATCCCAACCAGACTGTTTAAAGAGGTATTTCCCCTAATTAATGTCCACATTTTGGATCTACTTAATTTGTCTTTAATGGATGGTTATGTACCACAGCGTTTTAAGGTTGCTGTAATTAAACCTTTACTTAAGAAGTCTGACCTTGATTCAGAAATTCTGGCCAACTATAGACCTATATCTAATCTAACTTTCATCTCAAAAATTCTAGAGAAAATAGTTGCAGGTCAGTTGCGTGAACATCTACAAAGAAATAATCTGTTTGAAGAGTTTCAGTCAGGGTTTAGAGCTCATCATAGCACAGAAACAGCACTAGTAAAAGTAACTAATGATATTCTCATGGCCTCAGACAATGGACTTGTGTCTATACTGGTCCTGTTAGACCTCAGTGTTGCACTTGATACAGTTGATCACAATATTTTACTTCAGAGGCTTGGATATGATATTGGGATTACAGGAACGGCTCTAAAGTGGTTTAAATCATATCTATCTGATAGATTCCAGTTTGTAAATGTAAATAATAAATCTTCTTCATACACCAAAGTTAGTCATGGAGTTCCTCAGGGCTCAGTGCTTGGGCCAATACTCTTTACTTTATATATGCTTCCATTAGGTAAAGTTATTAAACAGCATGGGATAAATTTCCATTGTTATGCTGATGACACACAATTATATTTGTCCATTAAACCCAATGAATCATATCAGCTACTTAGACTACAAGCATGTCTTAAAGACATAAAAACCTGGATGACTCTTAATTTTCTCCTGTTGAACACAGACAAAAATGAGGTTTTGGTTTTTGGACCTGAGCACCTTAGGAATGAATTTTTCAGTCTTTCTCCCTCCTTAGATGGCATTAATCTGGCCTCCAGCTCTAATGTTAAAAATCTTGGTGTTATTTTTGATCAGTCCATGTCTTTTATCCCCCACATTAAAAACGTTACTAGAACTGCCTTCTTCCATGTGTGTAATATAACTAAAATTAGAAACATCTTATCTAAAAATGATGCAGAAAAAACTGGTCTATGCATTTGTCACGTCTAGACTGGACTATTGCAATGGTTTATTATCTGGATGTCCAAATACTTCTTTAAAACGTCTTCAGTTGATCCAAAATGCTGCTGCTAGAGTCTTAACCGGAGTTAGTAGGCGAGATCATATTTCTCCAGTTTTAGTTTCTCTCCATTGGCTCCCTGTCAAATCCAGAATAGATTTCAAAATCTTACTTCTAACCTACAAAGCTCTCAACAACAGATCTTATTGTTCCATATTTTCCTAACAGAGCGCTTTGCTCTCAGACTGCAGGTTTACTTGTGGTTCCTAGAATTTACAAAAACAGAATGGGAGGCAGATCTTTTAGTTATCAGGCTCCTCTCTTGTGGAACCAACTGCCAATCTCTATCCGTGAGGCTGACACATTATCCAGTTTTAAAACTAGGCTGAAGACTTTCCTTTTTGCTAAATCCTATAGTTAGGGTCGGCTTGGGTTTCCTGAGCTGTCTCTTAGTTATGCTGCTATAGGCTTAGACTGCTGGAGGACAAACTGACCACAATTTTCACTCTACTTCCGTCTTTACTTACTCTGCTCAACCTGTTTTGTATTTGTAATTATTTTTTCAATCCTTTACATGTGTTTTTTTGTCTTTCAGATACACCTGGACCTATACCTGGACCTACCATTCTGTGTTCATCTGTCTCTCCTTCCTGTCCTCTCAACCAGCCGGTCAAAGCAGATGGCCGCTTGTCCTGAGCCTGGTTCTGCTGGAGGTTTCTTCCTTTTAAAAGGGAGTTTTTCCTTTCCACTGTTGCCACTGTGTTTACTCAGGATGGGAGACTACATCGAAGCCAAGATTCATCTTGTCTGCTGGATTCCTTAGATAGAGAACTTTACTAATTGACTTTTATGTATGTGAATGTTTCTGTAAAGTGCCCTGAGACAACTTTGTTGTGATTTGGCGCTATATAAATAAACTGAATTGAATTGAATTGTATTCCAGAGGCCAGAGCAGGCAACATTGAATCTTATCTGAAATTGCTGACTAAGGCCAAGGCTAAATACAGTAAGATTGTTTTTCACGTCTGCGGTAATGACACCCGGTTATGCCAATCGGAGGTCACTAAAATTAATGTTGCTTTGGTGTGTGACTTTGCTAAAACCGTGTTGGACTCTATAGTTTTCTCTGGCCCCCTCCCCAACCTGACCAGCAATGACATTTTAGCCATATGTCGTCGTTTAATCACTGGGTGTCCAGGTGGTATTCTGACAACGACATGGGCTACATAGATAACTGGAGTTCTTTTTGGGGAAAACCTGGTCTGATGCGGAGAGATGGCATCCATCCCACTATGGACGGACCCGCTCTTCTTTCTAGAAATATGGCTGATTTTGTTTATCCCCCAAATTATTGACAACCTAGGGTCCAGTCCAGGAAGCAGAGTTGTAGTCTTCCACACCTCTCTGCTGCTTCTCCTCTGTTTCCCACCCACACCCCCACTGAAACAGTGTCAACTCGCCCATGGCTCAAATTAAATAAACCAAAAATCAGCTCTAAAAATATAAACCATAAAAATCTTATTAAAATAAACACAGTTAGTTGACCAGAGCAAAATCATAAAATCATTAAATGTGGATTATTGCACATCAGATCTCTTTCCTCTAAATCCCTGTTAGATAATGATCTGATAACTGATCATGACATTGATTTATTCTGTCTGACAGAAACTTGGCTACAACAGGAGGATTTTGTTAGTATAAATTAATCCACTCCTGTTAATTATTTAAATTTTCATGTTCCTAAAACAACTGGCCGAGGTGGAGGAGTAGTTTCTATTTTTCAGTCAGGATTCTTGATTAATGCCAAACCAGTTATTAGTTATGATTCTTTTGAATCACTGTCCTGCAGTCTTTCTCATCCAAAATGGAAATCAGAAAAGCCACTATTACTAGTTGCTATATATCGTCCACCAGGCGCTTACTCTCAGTTTTTGTCCGAATTCTCAGAATTCTTAGCTGATTTACTACTAAATACAGATAAAGTCATAATAATGGGGGATTTCAATATTCATGTAGATGTTGAAAGTGAGAGCTTAAGCATAGCCTTTAATAATTTAATAGTCATTTGGTTTTACCCAAAACGCCTGCACATCTACTTATTATTATCATCACTCCCTTGACTTATTTCTGACCTATGGCATAGAGATTAAGGACTTAGTAATAGTTCCTCAAAATTCTGTTCTGTCCGACCTTTTTTTAATAACCTTTGAGTTTACCTAAAAAAATTAAATCTGATCCTCTAGACGTTCAAAGAAAAAAAAACTGTAGAAACGTTTCGTCTTTCATCCGAAAGACTTCCTCAGTCTGAGGTGCTGTATTCAGCTCAGTCTCTTAAATAGCACCCTTTCGCAGTGGATCAACCAGTTTGCTGCTGACAGCCAAAACCAGCTGCTCACATAATCAAGGAGGACCATCAGCCTAACAATGGATCATCAGCACACTGATGGCTGTTTGCTATTCAAGGTGGCTAAGTGATACTAGCAATAACAGCATTATAAGAGGGGGACAGTTGAACACGGAGGCCTCCACCTCTGTTTAATGATGGATGGTTTCTTTTCACAAAGATGGCCTCCTTTACTCCTCTCTCAAACCATCGTTCCTCTCTATCAAGGATGTGAACATCTTCATCCCTGAAAGAGTGACCGCTGGCTTGGAGATGAGTGTAGACGGCAGAGTCCTGGCCTGATGATGTTGATCTTCTGTGATCTTTTGGCCAGTGGCTGTTTAGTTTCCCCGATATATGACTGATCACAGCCCTCCTGACACTGAACAGCATACACAATATTACTCTGTTTGTGCCGGGGGACTGGATCTTTGGGATGAACCAGTCTTTGCCGTTATTGCCATAAAATGTATTTTGGGATTTAAAAGCCACTGGGACATTGTGTTTAGAAAACAAATCAGTCATAGGTGACAAGCGTCCAGAGCGTCACCAGCTGAGAAGGTGTTGGAGTTTCTCAGCAGCAGAGGAGAGACACGGTTCAAGCACGGCTCCCCAAACGACAAGACAGATATATTTTTTCATAATTTGATAATTAGTAAGTCTGAGAGTTGCTGGGTCTTAGCAAACAGTTGCCGAACGCACCATGACAAAATGAGAATGGTGAAAAAAAAAAACCTCCCTGCCACAAAATGTTCCTCAGGGTCACATGCCCCCCCCCCCCCCCCCCCCCCCCCGGTATTGCTCGCCGCGGGGGGGGGGGG